TGTAGTTTTGACAGGGCTAATTGATAATAAATACAAATTACATGTAGGTTCATCAGATCATGAGACCAACAGCAGGACTTCTTATCAGTATGGGGGAGAAATGCACAACTATGACTAATAAGCTAAAAAAAGAAGTTTTAAAAATTCATCAATCTATTCACAGAATGCAGGTTGACCAAATTTGTATATGTCTGGTTTTGGCCATATAATGAGCACTGTAAATAACAGACTGCATACATACATTACCTCTGTCCTCATATGACCCTAACTGTTGCGAGGGCTTCAGTAAATAATTACTTTATTTTATCTGAGATTGTACAGTAATCAATTTTAACATTATTGTGAAATAAAACGGCATCATGTATGGTGTCTAATATCTAAGGGGAAAAAAATCTGTAAATATTAGGTACCATAATTGATCTAATAAGTGTCCTTCAGCTTATCAGCACTGTCCCTATCTCTTTCTGATCAGAACACCCCATTCTCTCACCATGATTTATCAATTAACTTGAAAAAGAATGTCAATTATGATTCTGGTTTCCAAGTTACAGAAATTTATAAGCACCCAAGGCACTAATTAGTTGAAATACATCAGGTTATTGTTATAAAGTAACTTAACTGATAAACAGCATATCTTATGTTAGTGAAATAAATACCTTTTGTTATCTTAGTAAGAACAGAACAAAAATATAGCTGGGTTGTTTAGATTTATATTTGATATGATATAAAAGATACATTTAACATGTTGAGAAGGGAGGAACTCATTTTTTACACTATTAATATGGTGAATGTTAAATCATGTGATATATTGCATTTATGTATATATGATGCCATCATCTGTTAGGTAGTATTAAGTTAATTATTTTTTAACTAAATGCAAAAAAATAAACTTACAAATAATGAGACATAATAATTAAACTAAATAAAGTCAAGAAGCAATGCTTTCTGATACCTCAAGCCCGATACTATATAATTCTGATACTGCAGGATAAAATATTTTACTTATGACAATGAACAGTAAAAACGTTTTTCTTGACTCATTTTACAACAGGTACAAAACATATGCAATTTCATCTTGGTAATGGCATTACAAGGATAGATACAACATCTGTGAATTTGGTTTGAGGTGGTTACATACCCTTTTGTAAGACATGTTTTGCCCTGTATGATATTCATCCTTTCCAGGTGAAAAACATATTAGCCCAGTGTTGGTTTCACCCTTTACAGCACAATTTGTATAGTAGGATGTGTGTTAATACTGCTATCATGATAAGAATTTGCTTTCATTACAGAATGAAAACAATTTAAATGTTATAAATATTGGCAAAAAACTCCAGTATAGAGTATAATATGTAAAACACAAATCCTACTTTCATTGTCCAGTAGCTCTAAAACTCAGTCTCTTGTTTAATTACTCAAGAAAAAAAGATTCGATTTGTTTTCCTCCAAAAACAACATCCCTAACCAATGCCAAAAATTGACCCCAAGAAACAAATTAGTTGAAAGAATTGATCGAAATTGCAGTTGTACCTGGGAACCACAGAGCCAAACACATTTTCCTTCCCTTCCTTAATGAATGAACCTGTTTGGAAACAATTCTAATCTCTCCCACATACTTGCATACTACCCTATTTAGGAGGGAGACTCTCGATTTTGGACCCTTGTATTTAGTACTAATCCTATATTCGAAGATCTAATGATATCACCTGAAAAAAGAACTTAAAATATGTAAAGGGTTATTCTGTCTCTTGGGGTATACACATACACATTTATTTAAGTTTTAATTTTGAGAATTCAGAATCTCCCCCATGGAATTTTCAAAAAGTTGGCAAGTGTGTCCCCAAAGTGTAAGGATTGTTAGTAATGACCTTGCGGTGTCCCTACAGGTAGTAACACAGAATATGGTAGGTAACATCACTGTAAATAATTAAATATAAGCTTCAGACTGATTGAAAATGATAACTATCTCATATCACAAATATCTACACATGTTTATCTGTCATCACCGTTCTCACGAAGAACTTGAGGACATTTCTAAAGTCCTACTTTTACAAGATCAAGGTATAAAAAATGTGATAACATTTAATATTCAAACATCACATAACAATTGAAATCTATATGGTTTTTTCAATGTCTAGTACATAATACTCAAATAAAATCAACATACATTTACATAACAAAAATCTCATATGTTCATAAGAATGATCAACATTGCTTCTGTTAAAGGTTAAAGGGCTCTAAGTCTATGAACCGTGCACCACGTGGCAAAGTGTTATTTTGATAAATTTGAAAATCTCCCAATATTGACTAGTTAACAATTCATAAAAGATCAAAACTACACATACACAATGTTGTACATTATAGAATCAAGGACAGAGGACTTGCTAGCTAAATGTATGGAGAACCGAGGAGAGATCCGGATAGTGGGAAAGTGATTCCTCGTGAGTAATGACCATCCTTTCTTCCTTATACTCTAACTTTATCGGTCACTAATAATGTTAAGAATCTTTATGGAAATCAGTTTGATCACAGTTGGAAACTCTCTACAATGGATTGATCGATCCACTCAGCATGGTTGATATTCTACTTACCCACCACACATACATCCCCAAAGACAATCAGACATAGTTCGAGGCATCAATGTTAGATGGTGCAAAGACCTCCACAAAGCCCTGCTTCCCAATTTGAGACCCCTAAGGTGGAGTATCCTTATCTTACACCCCTGGACATGAAAGTCTTATAATTATTGAAAGTAGACTTTAGTCTGACCTGGCATTAGTATAGCGTAAATTGTCAAAAAGATTCCAAGAATACATAGAAACAAATAATTAGTTACCTATACAAATCCAGTCTGTACTACATCCCCCATCATGAACAATACCAATAGCCTAAGAGTCAGTACTGTATTTGACATACATAGTTGTAATAAGGGTGCCAGCGGTAAGTGACATTTTTTTATCTTGCACAATAAACCTTTTAATTTTGACAATTTTTCAAACATGGCCAAAACGTGAAGGTCTCTTTGTCCAACACTGCTGATGAATAATGCATTAATAGAGCATGATCTTTTCTGAATTATTACATCGGTCAATGTATCAACAGAAAATGTTGGATGGCAGCTTTGATTTGTTCCATAAATTCATGTGCTGTGTCATTTTGGTGGAGCAAGTTATTTGTCTAACTAAACCAACTGGACGACTTCCAAGAATGATAACATGTAAAATGGAAAATCCAAAACTTTACAATAGCCATTTGAATTAAGTCTACGCCAGAAGGTTCCTAATTAGAGCAGGCACCTTGATCATGTCAAATATGGTATCTATATTTAGGAAGTGATAGAAAATGTGAGGTAGGAGAGGCGAAAGAAAACAAACATGCAAAATGAAAAATATTTATGCAATGAAGTAGTGTGACTTTGGCACAAATGAATGGATGGTTGATAATTTCAGCAGGTTTCTATTTATACTTTTTAACTATTGACCTTAATCAAAATCTTCAATTGACTAACATATTTTCTTTCTGTAAAACTTGATTATCTAACACACACTTAAATCTGATAATTTCTTATCATAACCATGATATAACACTGAACATTGAACATACAATAGGGATTTGTGATCCTTAGAATGAACAAGAGGCCCATGGGCCTTAACGGTCACCTGATATATTTATACAGAGAGTTGATTTTGTTTTTAACATGAACAGAAATATTATTCAAAGTGACAAAAAACAATAAAACCACCTTACTCAATATCTAGCATACAGATTTCAGACTAAAAAGGATTTGAAACTAGCACCTCTGATTCTTAACAAGGAAAATGAAGAAATTTTAGCACACTGACTCCTTTGAGCCCCACCCTACAGCCCTTGGGGGTAGGGCTGGCTCAAAATTTTCAAAGTATCAAACTGTCAATTCAAGGTTATAATTCCAATCAAGTTATTAACATGTAAT